GCAAGTTGGTCTGGCACTTCGACATAGTACCCACGCCAAAACAGGGAGTGACGTCAAATAACGCCGAAGGATATAATAGAAGAAAAAAACATGAATGGTGGTGTTTTAGGACAATTTGGGTAGTTTAGGAAACAGAACTGCAGCCCGTGAAATGATGTCATTCCAGAAAGGGAACGGTTAACACTGCATTGCATGTTTCAAGTCTCCACTCTATTTCATGGAATAAGGACTAAGCCAAATAGTGTACTTGGGTGAACATTTTCTCAATGTCGGCTGATGGAATTACCTGCTGGGTTGAGGGTCGCAAAGTCAACACCGTTCCCACAAGATGAAAACGGGCAGAGGGATCAAGTCCATGAACTCTATCGCTACGCAGATTTAGTTCGTTGGTTTCGAATCCACAAATTTTAGAAGTTTTTCTGAATTCAGGATATAAGTAATAGTCCCCTTAAAAAGTAACAATTTTGCAGAATTTCTGCATTTTGGGTACCTTATTCCAGACCGCAATTGTGTTCACAGAAAAGGGCCAACGCATTTAACTTTACAAGAATAAGAAGACCTGGCGGGGACCGTTACATCGAGGGTGGTCAAGGAACTTCAGGGTAGCAAGGAGATTAAAAATGAAACTGTTGAAAAGCAAACACGGTAAGAAGAAACCCTCTTGTAATCGGCAAAACCACAAAGAATCCAGGCTTGTAAGTCCGCAGCGTTCTTGTTACGTAAAATCACGGTGTTCCGAGGTAAAAACTCTTTCTGTAAAAAATGCTGTACGGTTTTTATTTTCTTCCGTTTGACAGCTCACAGGAGGTGATATAAATATATATATATATATGAGAAGAAGAGGCGATCTCGGGAACCATAGGTTTAATAGCCTGACGTTTCAAAAGCAAACAAGCTTCCATCGTCGGAGGTGGGTTCTGTACGGCGCCTCACAGTATTTATGGGTGCTGAGCATGCGGGAGTGTTGTCGTTCTTACTGCTATTCGTGCAGGATCTGCTGCGGGGGGGAGGAGTTAATTGCTGTCGTGCTGGCCGATCCCTTCCTCGTCTCCTAGTCGGGTGGGCTGAGTCGGGATGGCAACGGTCATTGACCTCGTCTGCATTGCCCGCATTTGTTGTGCCTGACCCGCATTTCTCGTAATTGTCGCCCGTTTGCCTCTGCCCTTGTGCACCTCGGTGGTTGCTGACCCGTTGCCGGTGTCTCTTTTATCGGTCTGCTGATCCCCGTCATCGGTGTTTGGGCACGAACAGTGAGGCGCCGTACAGAACCCACCTCCGACGATGGAAGCTTGTTTGCTTTGGAAACGTCAGGCTATTAAACCTATGGTTCCCGAGATCGCCTCTTCTTCTCATTTATCCCCGGGGACGCGCATTTTCGCTTTAATTGGCAATATATATATATATACATATAAATGGAAGGTTTTTTCTGTGTTATATGTAATCTCCGAAAGTAC